AACAAATAATCCTCTAATATCTTTCCTAAAAAACATTTTTATGAAATATACGGTTTAAAGATTTCAAAGGCAGTAACAAGTAATAGAAATTTTTCTACTCTAAAATGTGAAACTAATTTCAAATAAATTTAGACAATATTTATGTGTACTTGTTAGCATCAACAAATAATATTTATTGTTAGGTAAGTATATCAATGTAAAGTATTTTATTTTTACTAAAAATAAAATTATCAAATTTTTTTAAAATTATATAAAAAATTATTTATATTATTATCATTAATGTAAGAGGAAAGAGGCAAAAGGGAAAGACGGAAAAATAATAATTTAAATATAAGATAAGAGATACTTGATGTGCCGAGGTAATTTCGAATGTTTTCAAAAGTATTTAAAAATAGTTGCTGCAGTTGCATACAACCATAAAACTTGTTTCATTGACGCATGTATAGAATTGCGCCAGTACAAAACAACAGTCATTAATTTACGATATGTGTGTGTCATGTACAGGTCTAAATTATAAATATTAGTTGTTTTTATTATCTAATTATATTCCCAGATCCAGCAGCGCCAAGCTCTTTTACATTAAATATTTCTTTATTTTAATTAAATATTATATGTATATATATTAAATATCTTCTATTATATTGATGAGTTTAAAAATGTCTAATTTTTTTAACGTTTATCATATTTCCTCTTTATATTTATATTTGGCGTAATTCTCTGATTTCAACACTTTTTTGAAAAACATTTTTAAAATTATGTAATGTTGAACAGATTATTATTTGCCTAAACATTTTTCTTACGGAAATCAGCATTATTTATGTTTACATGGTGACTTTCATGATATTCCTTGGTATGGCGAATACTTACATTTTAAACTAATAAGTAATCATATGACAACTTAATTACACATACGATATTACATTAATATCATCTATAATAGGATGATATATATTTACATGTATTGTATTTAATTATTTTACAAATATTCGTATTATAATTTAAAATACTCTCTGTCATACTGAAGCTAGATTCCGCACGGTTCTTATGAAAATTAGATTTCGGTGAAATTGGCCGATACTTCCGCAATAGTACTGAAATAACTTATAATTATTTTAACTTTCGAACGCTGATGGCGGCTAAATGGTCGATTGTTGTAAATTTTGTCCAATGAGACTTTTGATCAATCTCATTATCAGCATAAACTATTTCCGAAGTTTCAGCCAATTTCAGAAATCCAAAATTCGCGTATTTTCATAAGAATCGTGCGAATGAGTGCTTCAGATTGAAAAAAGACTAAGAGATAGACAGCCGAATGTTGTGAAATCATCATGTTATTTCTTTAAAAAAGAGGGCGTTCAGAAGGTAGATGTATGATATCACAGTCTAAGAGAATAAGAACAAACAATTTTGTACGATAATGAAAACTGCGTGCAAATAGATCAATTAACACTGACAGATTATATATATGCCTATGGCTAAAACACTTGTCGACATAAATATACAGAAGGTGCAGACTCATGCATTTAGTAAAATATATAAATAGATAGCAAAAATTAATTAATTTTCTAATAGGAATTATATATAATGCCTTATAGTACATTAGTTATATATCGCGTTAAATCTGTCTTTTTTATATGTAGTTTTATTTTACGTGTTTTATTTTAGTATTATTTCGAATTATTTTTAACATGAAAACTTCTTATAAGGAACGGTGTTGAATATGTTGCCCAATATTAAAATTCTTTTACCTTTTGTCACTTTCTTTAAGCGAAAATAATATCAATAAATATTATCCACATTTCCTTGCGCCATTAATCTATATTATTATTTATTTTAAGATTTCAATTTTCATACATTTTTTAGAATTAATTCTTGCACCAATTAGTTAAAATAAGCTAATAAGAAGTATTCTACTCTACGATTTCGACATTTAAAACGATAATGTTGCTAATACCAACTATATAATTACTGCGTGGATCAAGAAAATTGCAATGCAATCTCGTTCTGCTAAGTTTTCTAAAGGGAAGTATTCAACATTACTTCACATTATGATGCAATAACTATTAAGTATTATTTTCACAATGTTATTGTACTTTCTTTCTGAAAAATTTATATTGTTATATAAAAAAATTAACGCTCGATCTTTTTTTTAAATCTTTATAATCGCGTTTTGTTATTTTTTTAACTACACATATATGGAAGTTTATATTTACAACTTCAATAAGTACTTAATGAATAAAGATATGTATTGTAATATAAGATATATAATTGAAAAAAATAAAGAAACATGCCACATTGACTACCGGCTTGTGTAAACGGCGAACAGAAATATTCATTGCTCTTGAAAATATTAAGAAAGTATACAAATAATTAAATATAATACATTTTTTATTTTTATTTTTAAAAGCATTCCGATACTGTAATCTGTCAGCTTTTAAAAGTAAAGAATTTTGTATTTAAAAATTAATAGTCAATAGAACACAAGAATGGTCTATTAGCTCCAGTATATGTATGTCTCTTTTGGATTAAACATTTATTTTTAATTTGGTCTTGTGTCGTATAAGGTCGAAGAACGTAGAGACATGCGGGTCTGTTTAATTAGGTGAACAAATTGATATTATCATACTTCCAACTGATTTTTGTGCATCTGGTCAAAGTAACAATAATACTTCACCACATTAATTTTATTAAGATCAATTTCTTTAATACTTTGTCTTCGAAAATGCTATCATCTATAATCTTTGTCAAAATAAAGTTGCTAACATATAGAGTCCACATGTAGAGAACACATGTAGTCCAACACTGCATAACGCTATATTAATTCAAATCAAATTGTAATCTTATTTCTCTCTTTATTGTGTTCCGTTATATCTTAATTACATATACATATATTACAATACATGTTTTAGTTATATTTGTAATGAATAATATGGTTTTCAAATTCTTTTTGTTTGATTTGTTTTCATTAAAATTTATCACTATATATACGGAAAGAATGTGCTAAAGTATTTGAAAACTAGGCCAGATACAGTTCTAAAAATAATTATGTCCCATCATATGAATAATTATATTAAACGCTCAAACAGATTGCTACAATATCAAAACTTTTTACAAAATTATCATCATATGTATTTGAGCCTTTAATATATTTATTTTAATGGTCAATATGATTATAATTTTCAAATCTGTATCAGGTCAAATTTTTATATATTTTAATTTCAGCAAAACTATTCTTTCCGTACATATATAATTTTGAAAATACATTTTATATTATGTTTCAACGAGCAAAGTTATTGTACAATGTACATTTAATGCATGTACATTTTATAAAAAATTGTGATCATTATAATATACATGATACATTTAAGTTATTGATCATATGAATAATATTATATTTATGAACTAATATCGCTTCATGACTTCGATAATCCAGTCTATATATGAAGAAACCTTAGTATACACTTGAGGTGAGTTGTTAGGACAAAAAGATTGGTCTTCGTAACTCATAATACCTATTTGAAAGTCTTGGCCATTTTTTCTTACGATGAGAGGATCACTGCTGACTCTCTAAAAATATAATATTTTAATTATAACAAATATTAAATGACAGTTACGAAAAAAGAGAAACTTTCGAATTTTATTTATTAAAACTGATTGAAACGATATAATATGATTTATGCTGCGCGTTAGAATATTGCACTTATACTTGCAATTTTTGTAGTATATTATCATAAACAATATTATTTGTAACTATATTATTATTTGTAATTATGTTTTACCTCGGGACAAGCGAATTGTCCCAATCCTGCGGCCGTGCAAATGTGGTTGTCGTTGATGGGCCAGTATTGCCTGCATACATTATTTTCTATAATCGGCAACATGGCGCACTTAAGTTTCATCGTCTCCGTCGTACTTCGGCTAGCCGCGTTCTTTTTTTTCCAACCGACCACATAAGCATTTTCGTTCACAAAGTTCTCGTAATATGCGAGTTTTATTGGCTGAATATTATCTAAAATAAAGAAATATTATATTTAACTAATAATTTCTCAAAATCAATATTAAGACATGATATACATTTGTAATACTTTTTCAGTAGTTTTATAATTTGTGATATTTCTTTAGTATGCATCAAAATATATGTCCAAGATTATAAAAGAAGCTGTACGTAGATATACAATACGATTTTTGATTTCCACAAGTCTCCGTTCCACATTTATAATTCACCTTATTATTCAAATCGTTATTAACTTTCCGCATATTTTCCATAGAATAATTAAATACTGCCGACATATAAATAAGCGCAAAAGGAAGAAGAAAGAGAAATATAGATTTTTAAATGTACTTACTGGAAAAGGGAATATCTTGTGGCATATAGAGTAAGGCAATATCATTGTAGCCATTTGCGTATTGCGGATGTATAAACGTTTGAGTCGGATTCATCACCACACCTGGGGAAAGACTGTATCCAATGCCATACGCGTAGGGGGTACTGAACTCTACGAAAAATGTACTTATGTATTGGAAAAAGGAATATCTTGTGGCATATAGAGTAAAGCAATATCATTATAGCCCTTTGGCGTATTGTGGATGTATAAACGCTTGAGTCACAATCATCGACATACTGAGGGTTCGAAGAACACCCTGTTCAATGCTAAACTCGTCAACGTCGAAATCTACGAGAAGTGTTCCAGGGTTTTTTGCGTAGACACAATGGGCGGCTGTGAGAACCCATCTTTTGGATAAGATCGTGCCGGCGCACGGTCCCAAGTATGCGTTGCTGAAGATTTGGTGCACTGTTACCATGTATGGAAAGCTTGAGAACCTTAACGCAGTTGTGGATCCCTCCGTTATGTCAGTTATTGCTTCTTCTATTTAAGAAAAATGTTAGTTTAGCGAAAAATGATTATTATTAGCTTAATTCGGTGGTAATTATTTAGAATAGAGCTTTTTCCGAATTTTGATATTTTCTTGTGGCTTTCTTGGTAAAAATCTTTGTTGTGACTCCGACAGTGATAATCAATCGGGGGAGCCCGAAAAATATATAGGGGAGAGTGGGCTCCCTTGAGCCACGGGGTCCAATGTGACAGTGCGAGTTTTCTGTATTAACGTTCTGCAAAATAGTGACGGTGGGTATGAAAACTTTTGTTTTCAAAACATATAACTTCCATCAAAAAATTATGCCGAAATAAGCATATATACTTTAGTTAAAGGCAGATATGTAATTGGAGCCTTGCAAAGTAAATTTTTACTTGTCATAACTTTTTGATATGTATGGATTTCTAAGGATTCTACAGTTAAAAAAGAATTCATAAGACGTTCGTCGGGATCTAGGTTTAATACCAAAGTGCGCACAAAAACGTTTAATTGTTTTGTATCTGAAATATTTACGATAAATAATATCAATGTTCAGTGGGGTCCAATGTGACGGTTGATGGGGTCCTCTGCCACACTTACAGAACTACGCTTATTCTCTCTTTTTTTTACCCTTTAGTTACAGATTACATCGAGTCGCTGTGAGGCTTTGTTTTCAGTTTTCAATTAGATCTCTTCTACGTGTCACAGAATACCCTACCTTTCACATTACATGTCACAGTGTACCCTACGCTATGGCTCAATCGACCCCACACTTTTGGTCAACTGTGAAAAACGCAGCATTTCGAAATATCATTATTTTTGCAAAATATTTCTGAAAATTTACTTCTTAAATCATTTACAAACAAAGTTTATTATATTAAACATCGAATAGTCTTATTTATATTATAATGAAGTTATTAAAAATCATTTTTAATGTGATTTGAAAAAACGTGGTGCAAGGGTGCCCACTCTCCCCTACCCTACCTATTTTTTTACTTATTTTTTTACCTATTTTTCCGACGTGGCTTTCCGGATCTTCCGACGTTATAAATATATAGTGGCTCTTAAAAGGACCGATTTTGGTCCTGAAAAGAACCGGTAGTAATTCGTGAATCATGTCTATTTTGTTTAGTCATTTCGGTGTCGAACAGTTTGTGTCAATATTAAAGAAAGTAATTTGCTAATATGTGTGTATAGACAGTACACATGTAGGCGAAGGTCAGTGGGGGTGGATCTCGGTTGACTCGGTTTGCGTGAGAAAATGAAAACCCGAAAAATGATGACGTGGAAAGTACAATGCTGTCCAGAGAAACATCCATGCAAACCGAGGTCCACCCCCATCCACCCCCGCCTACATTGTACTTTCAAGTAAAAGAAAATTGAACGTTGAACGTTTGCGTAAAAAGTTGAACGATACTTAACAAAAAATAGATAATAAAAATCGGTAAAGTACATATTTTTCGGGTTTTCCCGATTGATTATCACTCTCAGAGTCACAATAAAGATTTTTACCAAGAGAGCCGCAATAAAATATCAAAATTTGGAAAAAGCCCTACTCCAAATAATTACCAAAAATTAACTAATACTTTTTTAATTTTTGTTTTATCTTACCATTATTTGCGTCAAAAACGATAGCATTGCGGGGATTGTCGAATACGATGTACTGACTTTGAGTATGTTGACATATTGACAAACAGAGTACAATGCACAGTAATACCTTTGTACTTAGCGGACTCATGATAGACTGTTCCGCGTGCCGTTCCTGCAAATTTCCCATTATTATGCAGTTGCGTCGATATTTAGGCAATAATGACGACTAATAAAATTATTAACATCTTTGACAACGCGTTTTTGTGATATGTATTAGATGTAAACACTCCGGAAAATACTGCATGTAAATATACATACCATATTATTGCATGAAAGACACTAGTATGTGCACATTATTTTCGATTATTTATAATTGAAGCGATTATATTATACGTGTCTTTATTAAAGGTATCTTTTATGGCCCTTGTATTGTCCATCACGTATTGTGGTAAAAATCGGGAGTTTTGATTATTTATGTATTGAAATTCGAGACACGAAGCGCAAAGAAATTTAGTCTTTTTTCCCCCCAAAATTTAAGCATTATTAATTAATCTTTATTTTAACTATTACAAGTTCTTTGAAATTCTATTAATATTGTTCATTTTTGGTTGATTGTCGGTAGTTTACAGATGTTATTTTTAAAAGGAGTTTGTTATTCTAACAAAATTTAATGTGCAACTGTCACTAGTATTTCCATTGTCGCTAATGTATGGAACTTTAATGGGTTTAAAATGATGAAATGTCAGAAATGTGGTATGAAAGAATGTCGCAAGTCAAGTGAATTTACTTCACTCACGCGAAATCAAAGAATTTCGCCTATTTTTATGAGGGGTTTTGGGTTATACGGGCCTAATCATTAATCATACATAATTTTGCAGAATGTAGGTAATAATGGTAGTATTAAAGAAAAAATAATTTTAGGCTTTCAAACTCCCGCCGAAGGCAATTCTGATCTCCTAATGATGTCATTTTATTTGTGCGATGGCTCATCGTCAGAGCTGTTTAAGATACAAATACGTCATTGCTATATATGCTCAGAAGTACCTGTACACTAAAAATAAAAAATAAAAAACAACTGGTATATCCGCCGCTTTATGCCTAGGACAGACTTCATTAATATCGTTGTATAGACATAATTGTGTCACTGATTCCGATTCTTCTTATCATGACAATATAATGAATTAGTATAACTTATGCCTGCTTAATCAAATATAACTTAACTAAATATAAAATCAAGAATTTAGTTAAGCAAATGCATCAACAAATATATCAAAAAATATTTATTTGTTGCCGTTGTTATCACGAGGAGATGGCTTGAACGCAAACAGAAATCTTTAGGCAAGGATAAAAACAAAAACTAGAATTCTGGGAGTCATTTTTAAAATAAGAATAAACTCATTAGTTGATTGCGCAGCATGAAAACATCGTGTATTTATTTCGGTATTAGACATGAGATGATAACGATGCCAATAAAGTGCTGGGCGGAGGGAGCACGAAGCGGTGGATGTACATACCAGAGGCTCGATTCTTAAATTCATTCGCAAAAGAAACGTATGTGCAAATGTTGTTTTTACAGAAACGTTGCAAGTTGATTGATTAAAAATTATGCGACAGCCAATCGACTTTTCTGTAAGTTGCGCATACATTTCTCTTGAAATGAATTCAAGAATCAAGCCCTTTTTGTTTTTTATTTTTTTTTAATATACATTAGATACCTTCTGACTATAGCAATAAAATGCATTTGTCATCTTAAATAAAAATGGCATCATTAGGAGGTCAAAACTGCTTCCGGCGCGGCGGGAGGTTTAAAGATTATTTAAACTATTTCTTCTTTAATACTACCATAATAATCTACAAAATTATATATAATTGATGACTGGGCCCGGAGAGCACAAAATGGGTTCTTTATGCCCAGTTAGGCGATTTTTGCAAACGTGCATTCCTTATTTATCGTGTGAAAATATCTGAATCCGCTATTGCAAATAAATTCTTCGGACATTTTTCTCTAAAGTTTTATTATAATAATACAACTGCAATCTCACAAATCAATTTTAATTTAATTATTGTTTGCAATATAGCTATTAATAAATATTATTATCATACACTTCAAATAAAGAAAAAACTTCGGATATAAAATCAATTTATATATAAAAACACTTTTAAATCAACGACAAAATCTTTTGAAACAATTTTAAAAGAATAACAACACTTCTGCCTCATGCAATGGATTTCACCTATATATTTGTGACACAACATTTTAGGTTACTTTTTATGGGGTTAACTCAAAATCAAATTTTTTTGAATTGTAACAGTATTCTTCTAGGGTGTGATATATTATTCTCTTGCCTTTTAGCTTTTCAAACATAGCTATTTTGTGAACAATTACGTTGAGAGTCAGTGGGCGTTGTAAGTAATTCTCATTCCACAAAAAGGAATTTATGGCTCAACTTTATACTTACAATAGACTTTACACGATAAAATATAAACTATGTTGTAATTGTTGTAAATACGCACTGCAATTTGAAGAACTGACAAGAAATTCTCGCGGAAACTGTGTCTACAGTCTTCGAGACTTCTCTTTTTATAGGAACCAAAGAGGATCTTATCACTTTTTTGGAAAGCTTTAGTCTAAATGATTCATCCTAAAGGAATTACTCTAGTGTTATTATATTTTTAAAATAAGAGTATATCGTATTCTAACAGTTCTCAATATTATCGCATTCTTAAGTTACCTTAGAAATGCGATAATATTGACGCGCGTTTTCACTCTCCGCTGACCCGTCATTATTGACTTTCTTTTATTTTCTTTCATTTTATTTTCTTTCTGTTTCTCTTTTTTTCTATTTTGTTTAAAAATTCTACCCGGTTTAGTTTTACATTTGCTGCTTTTCTGTTCTAATATCAATTCATTAATTCTTTTTTTTCGCCCGCGCTTCGCGCGTTTTCACCCTCTGAAAAATTATCCATTAATGAAAAATTAAACTTATCCTCCAAAAATTTGAAAAATTTTGGCAATAGTTTCAAAAAAATCAGTTCATTAATACTTATTATTGACATAGAAAACTGAAAAAATAACACCGGTTTTAAGAAAATACGTTCATTACTAAAAAATTAAACTTATTGTAGCTATCCCCGAAAAATTAGAAAAATTTTGGAACCATCAGTTTCCAAAAAAATCAGTTATGAAAAATTATACACATCTTCGCCATTCTCGAAAAATTAGAAAAATTTGTACACTGTTTTTAAAAAAATCGGTCTAATAATTAAATAAATAGTTCACAATCAGAAAAATTTTAGCACCAGCAGTTTCCAAAAAATCGGTACATTAATGAAAAATTAAACTCATATGAAAAATTGGCCTCCACCATACATCCTTTTTTTGGATCATCCTTAGCGAGTGGAATATATACACACATACAGACTTTTTTAAAAACGCATAGAAAACTGAAAAAAATAGCATTTTCCTAACGCGAGCGTGAAATAGGCCGCTTTTCGCAGTTGTTTTGAGTGAGCAAAATGATCCATTTCGCAACGATGACGTAAGCGTTGAGAAATGGAGCCATTTCTCAACTAGTGGAGAAATGAAATTGTAAAACAAGCGCGAAAAGCGGCCTGTTTCACGCTCTTGTTAGGAAAAATAGTATCGTGAAAAGAGTGGTCGAGCCCAAATGAGTGTGATGGTCGCACTCGCTTCGCTCGTGCGACCAACTTCACACTCATTCAGAATCGACCACTTTTCCCACTAGTTGTACAATATATTAGTTCCTTGTTCCTAGTTTCTTGTTGTTTTGTTGTTGTTCAGATGTTTCTTACAGACAGACGTCATGATGTGTATAATTTTTCACAACCGATTTTTTTGAAAACATTTTTCATAAAATCGGTAACAAAAAAGTATCCATAAAAATTATAAAAAAAATACAGTTTGATATCTTAAAACTTTATGGCACTTTCCAGAAAATTCTACTGCTACTTCACATACAATTCTTTAAAATTCGGTCAATTAATTCCCGAAAAATTGGAAAAATTTCTGATTCCGGCTTCCGAAATGATTGGTAACGAAAAATATATACACTTTATAGCACTCACCGGAAAATTCTACCCTTACTTCATATATAATTCTTTGAGATTTAATCAATTATTTCTGAAAAATTAGAAAAATTAGAAAAACCGATTTCCTGAAAATCGGTAACCAAAAACTGTACATATCATGGCGCTCCACGGGAAATTCTATCCCTATACTTTTGGTAAAAATTCTGTCCATTAATGTAGGAGGAGTTCGCGAACAAACATACATACATACATACATACATTTTTATATATATAGAGATGATGATAGTATGATGACTAGTATGATTATATATAATCATATATAAACTTTAAATTTGGATTATCCAATAGATGGCATTCGATAGGATTCGTTTCTCGTATTTAAAATTTGACGAACGGTATAAAAACGGTATCAAGAGACACGGCATTGTCTCACGTCAAGCAGTGCCAAGTTATAATATATGAAATAAATTATTTCACATTTGATTCTACAGCTTTTGAAAAAATATACATTTTAATTTATCAATGTTTTTTTATCGAAATTAACCGTTCTTTTGTCTTTCTCCGCGGTACGGGGGGTATCCACGGATGCTACGATGCAACGCAACGCGACGATGCAACGAAAACATGTCACACTTTGAACGTTTATATCTTCAAAACTAATAATCGTAGAATAATAAATAACATCTCATTTTAAAGCTTAAGAAGTCCCATTTATGATAAAACAAGACTGAACTCTCTATTTGTTACCGTTTCGATATAGTAGCGTTAGAAAGTTTAGCTAAATTTCTTGTAGATCCAACGAAAACATGTCACACTTTGAACGTTTACATCTTTGAAACTAATAATCGTAGAGTAATAATTGACATCTCATTTTAAAGCTTCAGAAGTTCCATTTATATGATAAAATTTTGGTGGTTTTTAATAACCGATTTTCTTGAAATGGAATTATTATAAGAACCTGACGTCTGTCTGTATGTCTGTCTGTTTGTCTGACCGTGAACTACTCATTCGTTAATAGACTGAATTTTAAAGAATTATGTATGAAATAGGAGTAGAATTTTCCGAGAATGACGGTGGTTGGGTTAATTTTTTGATCCCAATTTTTTTTAAACCGGTTGTGTAGTTTCTTGTTATATTTTCGAAAATAATAATCGTAGAGTAATAAATAAGTTGTCATTTGATAGCTTATATAGTCTCATTTTCTCTCTAAAGTTTATAAAGTCTCCAAAAAAAATTACCGATTTTTTAAAAATATATATTGACTATATATGGTTATATATATGATTATATATATTTACATATATATAATAACATTATATTGTATGTTCATATATGATTATATATAATTATATATAATTATATATGATCATATAGAGACAAAATTCAGTATATAATTATATAATTGCATAATTGAATTATACATATATAATCATATATGTATATCATATTATAATTATATATAATCTTTTTTTCCCGGAAAATGTGGTTTATTTTTTCGACACTGTGATATATAAAACTCACCTCAGGCCGTTTCCAAATTAAAAAAGTCGTCGTCCTCGCACACGTCGAGAAAAACAACGAATCCTATCGAATGCCATCTATTGGATAATCAAAATTTAATGTTTATATATGATTATATATAATCATCCCTCACGGAAAAAAACTTGTAGTAACTATTGAAATGACAACTATTTGTAACTATTAGTGCACACTACTCAATAGTAATTTCGCGCAATGTTGGAATTCGCACTAGTAGTGTTACGTCCGCACTAGTACTCTCTACATGTTTCACTGAATAATTATTCACCCGACATAAAAAAAATATTTACTTCGAAATTTTATTACTATTTTTTAACTAAATTTGTTTCTTAAGATGCAGTCTATGATTATAAATATTTTCTCGTATTTGAAAAACACACTTATACCTTGGTGGGATTCGAACTCGGGACCTCTGCATCGTGAGCCAACTGCCTTACGTGGTAGACTACTTCTTAATTTGATGTAAGCGTTATATATAGTCTACATATGTCATAACCAGCGCAAATATATAATTTTTCAAAAATCATCTTAAGAAACGAATTCAGTTAAAAAAGAGTAATAAAATTTTGAATTGGATATATGATATAATATTTCTTAATGTCGGGTGAATGTCAGAAACCAGTACCGGCTTATTATAAAATTTTGTGTTCGTAAATATATTTATAAAAAAAAGTATATTTATAAAGTTAAAACATTCTTATCAAATCCTTACAAGGGCCTTATTAGACAAAAATAAGAAAACTTTTCTTATGGCATCCCTAATAAATAATGATCGGGACCTCATCCGGTTAGCCCTAATAAATAAGTATTTAAGAAGTTAAAACATCCTTATCAAATCCTTACAAGGGTCTCACTAGACAAAAATAAGGAAACTTAGGTATATCTATATATATACACTGCCGTCGAAAAGTTTCCGGACAGGGGTATAATTCGGGAAAATTCTTAATAAAACTAATTATTATGAATAAATATTATTATGAATAAATTTTATTTAGTTGACAATTAGAAGTAACAAAAACTGAAAATCTCACGAATCAAAATCAATCCTTAGCTTAGAAATCACACTTTCTTTTCATCGAACCAACCTCCGTTGGTGGATATAGCACCTTTTGCATCAATCGCGGCATTCTTTCTACGAGTTTTTCCAAAACAGAATTTGGTATTTCACTCCATGCTTTCTGGAGGATCTCCCAAAGGTGCTCCTGAGAGGTGGGACAGACCGGATTAAGATCCGGAGATTGAGGGAGCCACACCATCATTTTGAGCACTCCGTTTTCCTCTTTTCGATGTAGATAGTTGGAACATAATTTAGAAGTGTGTGTGTGATTTCTAAGCTAAGGATTGATTTTGATTCGTGAGATTTTCAGTTTTTGTTACTTCTAATTGTCAACTAAATAAAATTTATTCATAATAATATTTATTCATAATAATTAGTTTTATTAAGAATTTTCCCGAATTATACCCCTGTCCGGAAACTTTTCGACGGCAGTGTATACCAATTAAACTTTCATGTGTGAAATATACTTCGCTGCACCATACAGAATGTGCACTATTTGGTTTAATATTGCAAACTTCTGCACACTATTAATTCGCACTGTTGAATGATTAGTATAACAGTGTATACTGTTAAATTTTTGCACTAATGGCAGTAGTATCTACTGTTACATTCTAATAATTTACACTGGTCAATAGTAATAATTGCGTAGTGGACACTACTTATTACCAGTATTACAGTAAGCATTGCAGTATAGTAATCACTGCTTATAATTATTGGCATTTAATAGTTACTATTATCATTTCAATAGTTACTATTAGCATTCCAATAGTTTTTTTCCGTAAAGGATACTAGTCATTATACTACCATTATCTCTATATATATAAAAATGAATGTATGTATGTATGTATGTTTGTTCATCCGGATCATGCGGATGAATATCTTTTAAACAGTGCGAGCCGAACCGCACCGGTCGTGCGTACACGATTATATCAATGCATATGCAGCGCGTTGCACCGACAGGTCAGAACGAACCTTGACTTCGTCAGAGTAAGATCGCGATCATTTTGCGTAATAACAAGACCGAGTCAGACCGAGTTCTCGAGCATACGTACACTGTTGGAAAATTTTTGTACTTTTGTGAAAAAATCTGCTGGTTAAAATTTTTGTGTTAAATAATCGACACATACATGTGTAGATTTAACATATGTTTGCTATGTTAATTAAACTTAACAAATATAAAATGTAAAATTATTAAAATAATTTAAAAAATATGTTAAAGTAACACAATTTGAACGTATTTATTAAATGTGTTAAAATTTACAGAAAAAGAGTGTTAATTTGACTTTTTAACAGAAATGGGAATAAAAATTTACAGAAAAAGGTGTTGATTTTACTCTTTAAGGGTCCATATACCTCAGTAAGTCTAAAAAATAGGTGATTTTTGTGAATTTTTTGTGGAGAAAGTGAACAAAATAAATCATTCAATATTTTTGGATTATATTTATGATACTTTTAAGTAGTTATACAAATTTTTTCAGCCCATTTAAATAATTTGGCGAAGCGGGATACTGGGCAACGCGCGGAATAGGTTGTTCCATGGCGGAAGTCCTCCAGGTCGTAAAATGTGTCTGAAACATCGAATCAATCGATTTTCCTGTTCAGTACAAGTGTCCTAGCTTATAAAGTAAACTAAAAAAAATTATTTTGAATAAAAATTTATAAAATAGCGGCAGTTCAAAAAGAAAAATTAATTTTCACTATAAATTTTCGATACTTTTTTGCTTATAAAAAATTAAATATTGCATATATCAATATGATTGTAGTCTACTCTATAGGGACACTTGTACTGAACAGGAAAATCGATTGATTTGATGTTTCAGAAACATTTTACGACCTGGAGGACTTCCGCCATGGAGCAACATATTCCGCGCACAGGTCGCCGTTGCCCAGTATCCCGCTTCGCCAAATAGGCTGAAAAAATTGTTATAACTACTTAAAAGTATCATAAATATAATCCAAAAATATTGAATGATTTATTTTGTTTACTTTCTCCACAAAAAATTCACAAAAATCACCATTTTTTTTTACCTACTGAGGGATATGGACCCTTAACACAAATGGAAGTAAAAATTTACAGAAAAGGAGTGTTGATTTTACTCTATAACAGAAGTAGGGATGACTGCGCATATGATTTCGACGTAGTCTCGACGTCGCTCATTGTTGCGCGACAAGCGTTTCCGCGTCTTAGGAAACGTATGTGCAGAAGCCAATGGACAAGAGGTGTCGCTAATCGTGGTGGCGCCCGCGTCGTGATGAACTATTATGATAGACTATCTAGTCTGGGTAGCTATGGGTTGAGTTATCGTTGGCTCGAAAAGTGCCGAGTGCGAGTAAAGGAAAATCGGAAAGTTGTATGTGGACTGTGATAACGCTAACGCACGCCATCGGCACGAAGTCCTATCGGTACCGATTGCGTGACGAAATTCTTTCGAGGGTCAGATGTCAAGTGTCTCCTCCATTACGACGTATCTTATATGTTTATCTTTATCTGAGGATTTGCTTACTTTTAGTAAAATTTTGTTTATTTCGTTTTTTCCTTGGAGTCCGAAGTATATATGCTGTATGTGAACGCTGGAACACTTTACAAATATCATCCTCGTGTTTAGGATATATTGTAAAAAGTACGTCTATTTTATTTATAGTAAAATAAATTGATTTGCCGTATACTAAAAGTTGGGAGATCTACGAATTCTTAGAAAAAGATTTAGTCATTATAATTGACCACTTTTTGTAACTCTTTAAACAGTTTATATTTACATATTTAAAAAATGTAACAATTTATATAATAATTGCAAAACATAAAATATAAAAAAATGTTATTTTTATATTCTAGAAATGTTAATTTTTTATTAATATACATATAGGGTGTTAGGTTTATAAATTATTATACGTATTAAATAATTGATACTTTTATTTCAATTATTGAACATTTTATTGTATATTAATAAAAATTAACATTTCTATAATGTAAAAATAACATTTTCTTATATTTACATTTAAGGCTCCTGTTCACTCACTACAGCCATCTTGGATTGATGACGTCAGAAACGAGAAAATCATGAAAATATATCATGAAAATTCTTGCGATTTACACTAAAATAAAAATGCTTTTTAATAAAATACCATCTGTAAACGATAAAATAGATTTGTAAAATACACCAGAAAATTCCATTTTATATAGTAATCCACATTTGTGTGTGTGTGTCGAAGTAAATGTTGATGCCTAATAATCAAGAACGAAAACAAGCCGTTTGACAGCTGCCGAATTGAAATAAGTATTTGCTTGCGCATATTAAATCACGATAAAGTGGATATCTTCGGTGTACCTATTTTAACACTATCACAATAATTTTAAATGTAAAAACACTGCACTAAAATGAAGAATAACGCTGTAAATCGCAAGGATAATTTTGCTTTGACGTGTCATTTTTCACGCCTTATAGTTCACAGTTTTGCCAAGTGTGACGCTGGTCTGTGCGAAAACGCGGAGATGGCTCGCGAGCCAGCAGGAGCTTTAACAAAAATAAAATGTTACGTTAACATAAAATTTTTGTTAAAAAATAAACTTTTAACAAATGAACAGTGTAACTTTTACACATTATACTAATCAAAAGTTTGAGTTATTGTTACATTTGTAAAATGTAAAAAGAACATTTCTTATATGTTAATTTCAGTATAAAAGTTATGTTATTTGTACACACAGTTAACTTCAAATTACGATCAAAATTACAATTTTTTCTGTTAAAATATTAACATAGTATTAATGTTACCATTTAACACATCCATATTATGTTAAATTAACACAAAAATTTGAGTGGACCGTTTTGGACATGTGATTTATGTTATATTTAACACATTTCCAACTATCCAGGTCGAGTCCTGGCATGAGCGAAAAGGAGACCGAGTTTTCTTACCCAGTAATCTCGAGACCGAGTTCTCGAGTATATACGTGAACGGGCCGAGTCCCGGCGCGAAGCGAGTATCGGCTTCGACAATATATTATAAACGAAACCGCGAGTTATAGTGACAACAGTCGCATTTACTGTATCAAATTATATAATAAATATTACCCGAAAACACAGTGTATACGTGAACTACACTGAGACAAAACATTTTGGTGCCTCCTGTGAGGAGACCGTGCACGGCCAGAAAACGAATAGCGGCCATTGATTGGTCGTCAGCGATAACAAAAGAGGGTCCACGTCGAGGCAACCACGACTTCAGGATTCTGACAAGCAGTGACTTTTCTATCATGCACAATAATCTCTAGGGAAGGTCATATTATGAGAGGACGAGGCGGCGCGGCGAGGGAAAGGCTAAGGGCAAGGACAAGTACATTCCGTGTACATATATTATATCGTCGATTGAGCAAGTTTCCCATCCTTACCTTTTTTCAATTGGCATTATGACTAACCGCGCGAAAATACTCGTTCAAAGACGAACGTTTTTGAAATCGCAAATCACCAGATTAACAAATCTAGTAGCTAAAGGACGTTACGATAAGATCGCGGTCAAGTTATACGCATGGCCCGCATTACGGAACTATATATCATGCATACGAAGAGTTTAATGACGAGCTCTTGTTATTGGATCCAAACGACGACAATAACGACGAGTTCACAAACGTTCAAGAAAGATATTATTTGATTGCAAGTAAAGTAGAAGAAATAGTAAATCCTATCGTTTCGAGCGCGAGTAATAGTACTATAATTAACGAATCGCAACTCAGCACTTCCGGGGCCACGGCGATTGTAAAGCGGCGAGTAAAATTACCAGAAGCGTCTTTCCTCATTTCGACGGTCAGTACGAGAACTGGTTGTCATTTAAAAACACTTTTATTGCCATGATAGATTCGCAGTCGGATCTGGCCGATGTCGAAAAACTTCAAAATATCTAAAATTGGCGTTAACGAGCGAAGCGGCTAATAAAATAAAGATTTTATCAATCAAAGGCGCAAATTGTCATAAAACGTAGGAATTGTTGAAACGTTCGTACGAGGTAAAACGGATATTAATTTCACGCCATCTGTAATTATTTTTAAATATGCCTGTTTTAGACAAGGAATCAACCGACGGTTTAATCAAGCTTGCCGACGATGCGCAACAGCACGTCGCGTCTTTGTCCACTTTAGGAGTTAACGTGAGGTCCGAGATACTCGTGAATTTATTAGAGAGTAAATTGTCGAAGAACGTCGCAGAGAAG